ATTAATATATAATAATATTTGCTTATATTAGTAAATAGACAAGTTCGAGCATTTATTTAGAATTAGGAGGTTAAATTAACTAATGTTGAACACAGGCTTACTCGTTTATTAACATTCAAGAATAAGATCATTTGTCGTTCTACAAGTACCTTATTATATGTTTTATATTTATATGATATCTTATTTGATTTAATTTTGTTTAGCTTGAACTTATTTAATTATAATTTAGGAAGATTTACGTACATTTCACTCAATTCTTATCTTTGTACTTATCTAACATCTAAATTTTAATTATTACATATACGCCACCATATTTATGCATGAGAATGTGTATTTTACCTTTCAAATATTGACATAGTGATATTTTTTTTTATGTGATATGAATGTTTTGGGTGGTATAATGTAAAAAAATAATGTTTAGATGTTAGATTTGCAAATATGTAAGAATTGGGAGGTATTTATCTAAATGCCTCTATAATTTAATATCAATATGGTTATAATTTTAATGCAATTTTTATTTTCTCATTTCAATGAGCTAGTTATTACTTATTATTGTTATTTGATTGTAATAAAGCTTATTTATAACTTTCTTTTGTTTAATTGGTATAAATTAGTTAAAGGCTATATTAAACATTTAGTTAACTGTTTATTTATCTAGATTTTAAAATGATTTATTATTAATGTTATATTAAAAATTAAATAATCATTCAAATTTCTTATTTCCTTGTTAGTTTTATATGAAAAGTTGAGTACAAATCAAAAATATAATTTTACATGAAAAGTTAGTTATTCAATTAAATTTTTAGCTTATTTTAGAGTCCCCTAAGTTTGATTATGTATTAGAAATAAGGCATGGACACGGGTTTCAATATGCTTGACGGGCAGAACCACATGACAAGGACTAGGAGCAGCATGCTTGTGTCTCGTACCTTAATTTTAAGTCTCTTTGATCTATAATATTAGGACCAAACGTGTATATGTAGTGTCTGACCACCTTTTCTTTGCTTTTCTAAGATATGTCGTCGGCCTAGCGACACTCAACTTTTATATTCTTTTGTACTTTGCTTGTTTTTATATTGTACAGTGTGCTTGCTAGTTGCTCTTTTTTTTTTTTTTTTGCTTGTGCATTATCTAGGCTCATTGAGAATATAATTTAGGCTCTCTAAGGACTTAAAAGTTATAAATTTTCTAAAAAAAACTTTATAAAATATTCAGATTAATTAAAATTAAGGTTTAAAATATCTCAATTTTTTTCAAAAAATGATTTTACTTTCTTGCATGGCATTCCGACCAAATTTAAAATGGGGCACATTGCATGGTTATAACCCAAGTAATTATAAACGGGCCTACATATTAAGACTTGTTAGCTCGCTACATCATATTTATATGTTCAGACGTGATGTTCCTGTGCTTCTTAAACCCGCCTAGCCAAGCATAAGAATTCTACTTTGGTGGTTCTCTAGCGCATTTAGGGTGCAAGAGGTTTCTCTAACCCAAACAGGATATAAATCCTTTGTGAGAGCATCTCGGCCTTGTGGTCTTACCTCTATTATTTTCCCACTTCAGCGGCTACTGACATGTCCATTAACATGTTATTTTTTCTTTTCTATTTAATGCTTATTTTTTATGATATTGCACTTTAATGAAAGGTATTTTCATATTTTTTATGCATATATAATAGGTAAAGCAATTGGAGCGAACTAGAGCGAAAACAGAATGAAGTGGAGGCAAATAGAGCATTAGAGCTGGCACTGAACTAGTGCTTAGGTGCCACTCCATGGCGTCATGGCGTCAAATATGGGAGCTTTAGCGTCGGAACCCTACCAAAATCTTAAGAAGATGGCGCCAAGGTGCCACATACTGGCGCCAATTGATTTTCCCAGCCGACTGAGCAAATGGTGCCTAACCACCACAGTTTGGAGCATATTGTCACTCATAAAAAGTCCCACATCGGCTAGGTGTAGGGCTGAAAAACAGTATTTAAGTCATGGGCTGTCCACTACCCCTAAGAGCTCTTTTGGGAGGTGATAAGTGGTATATGAGCAGATTACTGTCTGTCAGGTGTGTGGACTCTCCATGATCCAATGGGACCCTCGGTGGAGTCAATCCTTGACGAAGGCATCACATGATTGGGTGGAGGAGAATGTCACTGACAAAAATTTTCACATCGGCTAGGTGTAAGGCCGAAAAACAGTATTTAAGTCCTGGGCTGCCCACCACCCCTAAGAGCTCTTTTGGGAGGTGACACTATGCTCCAAAACATGCTTCCTCAATTGTTTGAACAAAGTAGGAGAAAGGTTAGAGCTAGGAGCAAGCTGAGAACATGCTTCCTCAATCATCACGTGGGTGAGACTGTTAAATCTCTCTTGCTAATTTCATTCCCAGAGCCCCTATGTTCGGATGTTAGAGTATTAAGGACTAGGATTTTTTATGCTTAGAGAAAGCTGATAGATTAGGGGAGCCTTCCGTGAACTTTTCCCCTCGCAAATTTGAGTGATTTCCCTTCTATGCTCCAGTTCCAAAATCCTGCAAGACGAGGTTGTACTAATCTCTTCATTTGTTTCCTCGGCTTCATTTGGATAGATATTTGAAGCCAACCGACTGAGAGCACGTAGACGTTCCTTTGATATTCATCCCCTCGATCATGGAGAGTTCTCATTGCGAGAAACCCTCTATTTTATGTCAGAAAAATAGAGGTGGGTGTCATGTTGCATCGCACAATATGACGGTGACACGTCTCTCAACCAATTCGACTCTAGATTTAATTTGAGGTTAGCAAGATAGCTTCGACGTGTCGTCGACTACATTAGGTTGTCTGGCTTGCATCCTCTTTTGCATCTTGGTGCTCTTGTAGTGATCCACCATGACTTATGTGGTTAGTTATTGTAGTTTCCCTCAATGACCTACTTCACTTTTTGTTGTCATTATAACCTTTCACTGCAGTCTTTGTGGTCAACTGACATGCTTTGCAACGAACCATTATGGTCTACGTTACCAGATACTACTATAGCTTTACACTATGACTTTCATGCTGTCATTACAGTCTTTCACTACAACCTCTGAAGCTAATTGACGCTCTTGTAGCGATCCAATAAATCCTATATGGCTATTTACTATTGTAGCTTCTCACTACAACCTACATGGCTAACTATTGTCATTACAATTTTTCACTATAGCCTATGTGGCCAACTGGTGCTCATATGGTTGATTACTATCATTATAACATTCAACCGTAGCTTCTTTGGTCGACTTATGCTCTTGCAAAAATATACTACGGCCTATGTGGTCATTTATTACTATAGCTTCCTGCTACAACCTACGTGATTAACTGTTGTCATTACACTCATTTACTACAACCTCTTTGGCCAATTGTAGCTCTTTCAGCAATCTGCTACAGCTTATGTGGCTAGTTAGTACCTATAGCTTCCCAATACAACCTATGTAACCAACTACTATCATTGCAGCCTCCCAATAAGTACTCCATGGTTGAATGTTATCATTGTAGTCCTTCACTGCTGTCTATGTGATCAACTGTTAACATTGCAACATCCCACGACGACCTCTATTGACCAACTGATATCATTACATCCTTCTAATATGGTCTATATGATCAACTACTATCATTATTGTCTTCCATTATACCCTATGTCATTAATTGTTCTCATTGCAGCCTTCTACATTGGCCTATATGTTCAATTTTTGTCATGGCAATTTTTCATTACGATGACCTCTCCGGCCAACTGACTCTCTACAACTACCAATAAAGACTTTTGTGACCAACTATTATTACAACTTCTAACTATGACATCTATGACCAATCGATGTTATCACAACCACTAACTCAAATCTTTTTGACAAACTACTACTTTTATAACAATCAACTACAACATTTGTTGCCAATTATTGTTATTATCGCCAATAACTATCTATAGCTCAGTTACGGCTATTAAACATGAATAACTAGTATGCATCTATGATTATCAGCATTATAATTCCATATTCTTGAATTTAGAACAAATTTTGACGTGTGTACTTATAATCTTATAGTGGATTTTTCTGAATAGGCTAGGCCTCGCGGTTTTTTTTTTTCTTTCCATGTTTTGTTCACGTAAAAAAATTATGGTGTCTTTTGCTATTTTCATTTATCTCTATGTGTGTTGGATTTTTGTGCAATACTACGTAATTAAATTATCACTCCATCGGTACAAATCTTCAAACTCACAATAAGATGTAAAGATTTGAAGTCTCGGGCTCTAGAAGATAGGCCACATAATAAGCTATTTATTTAATAAAATAAATAAAATATGAAAGATATAAGGATTAAGTATTGACTCAAACTTGAGCTAGCAATTGAAGTTATCACATGAAAGAATCGATATATCTTCTGCGGACAGCCGTCAACTGGCTCTCTATTATGGGTCAATCGGGTGAGGTGTTGTTGATCTCTTCGGACTCAAAATTTATGTTTCTTTCCTTAGTAGATAGATGAGTTTGCTTCAGGCCCAACTAACGAGTCTATCAGTGATCCGACTCTCAAGCTCATCTCAGACCCAACAACAATCTCACTCTAATTTATAAAAAAAAATGATTTTCAATCAATATAATATGTTATGGATTGGAACACATTTATTTATGCTCTTTCATTGCAAAACTTCAATAAATTTAAAGTTTACTTTTTAGTTCATTTTGGGTGAATTTAAAATTCGACAGGTTTGAACAAATTTGAGTTACACTGTAAAATGATATAGGGAAGTGTCGCTCGACGCCACACCCGAGCTCTCGAAAAAATTTAAGATCATGTATTTATTTTATAATTAATCAGAGTGATAAAGCATTTCAAATACAATATAATATATTATACTCCTTTTGAGAAAATCAAACAGTCACTTACGAAAAATAAAATACATTAATAAACGACAAATTTCACCGAACTTGATTAACCCTCGCTTAAGAGAGCCATTAATGTATATAAGATGCAAAGAAGCCGATTTATGCCCACTCCTCCTTCTGCCCATTGGGATTGGGCCGCAAATCACAGTCCTCTCACCCAAGCCCCCGCCCGCCTTCACGCCTCCCACCCCCGCCGGCGATCCCGATCGCGTTGCCCAACTAGAGACTGAAGCCCTTATCTCTCTTTCTCTCTCTGCTCATTATTGCGGGAGCTTTTCACATTTTAGATCGAAACCAGCAAAGAATAAAAGGTTGGTGGAGCAGAACTCGTCAAATTGCTTCTATATTCTTTATTCATGGCTGAATCCCACCACTTTCAGCATTCTTAGATCGGTCTGCTTGCACCGATCAATCAACAGGTATGCGACTATTTCGGCAAGTTCCTCGCGCGATTTCTGAACTATAGAATCGCAGCCTGCGTAGCCGTGATTTTATCTACATTCTATTCCCTGGATCTCCTCCGGTATAAAACCGATTAACAGGATCGGAATACTGTATTGATTTGGAAGAATATGAAGGGATTCGCGATGCACGAGCGGCGTTGGGCGTCGGACTCTGTGCCGGGAGACAAGGTGATGAGCGCCAGTTCATCACCTGAAAGCTATGCTATGACGTCAATAGAGGGCTCCGAGGAGTTCGTGGAGGTGACCCTCGACGTGCAGGAAGACGACACAATCGTTCTACGAAGCATCGAGCAATTTCCTTCATCGACCTGCTTCTTGGATCAGGACACCACATCGGAGAGTTTCCGATCGAGCACTTCAAAATCGCCGTCAGTGATACGGAGCTCGTCGCACAAGCTGCGTCAGTTCTCTCACGAACTGAAAGCAGAAGCGATGGCCAAAGCACGGCAGATCTCGCAGGAGCTCCGAGCAGAGCTTAAGCGCTTTTCATGGAGCCACGGCCACTTGGGGAGATCGCCGGCCGACGGCGCCGCAGCTGCGATCGATTCCGCACTCGCCGCTCGCGCTGCGCGGAAGCAGAGAGCTCAGTTAAATCGCACGCGTTCCGGAGCCCAAAAAGGTCTCCGAGGGCTCAGATTCATCAGCACCAAGACCGCTAACGGCGTCGATGCGTCCAACGAAGTGCTGAGCAGATTTGATTCTCTAGCCCGCGACGGTTATCTAAGCCGCTCAGATTTCGCCCAATGTATCGGTAATTTTACCGCACCAATTCATATAATCACTCTCCTTCTCCTTCCTCCACAAGCAATTATTTCCTCACATGCAATTCTTCCTTCCTACTCCATTTACCTTTCTCTTAACCAGTCGCACGTACGGCTTCTGTTTTTCTTTGTTTTTTTTTTTTTTAAATTTAATGCTTGAAGATCAAACAAACTAATAATGATTTGATAATTAACTGAAACAGGGATGAAGGATTCAAAGGAGTTCGCATTGGAGCTGTTCGATGCTCTCAGTCGGCGGCAGAGATTAAAATCGGAGAAGATCAGCAAGGAGGAGCTCTCCGAGTTCTGGTCGCAGATTACAAATCAGAGTTTCGATTCCCGCCTCCAGATCTTCTTCGACATGTACGTGGCGGTGGAAATTAGTCTTAATCCAAAAAATTTTAGCGCGACAAATCATTAAATTGTTTTATTTTACTTTTTACTCCATTGATCAGGGTGGACAAAAACGAAGACGGACGTGTTACAGAGGAAGAAGTCAAGGAGGTAACTTTTTGTACAGACGATGCTACTTAGTGGGATTAAACTAATTTACTTTATTTTGATTTTTAAATTATATTAAAATAAAAAAAATATATGACTAATGAAGCGGTCATGTTCGCGGATGAAGAAAAGAATTTTATTATCGACTTATCATTGTTTAATTAGATGGAGGAAAAAGGGTGGTAGGATGTGCCATCGGTTGTTTAAAATATTTATTTTGTAACCGGAGTCGGTAAGCCGAACCGGCGACAGGAGAAAACTAACAACTCTCACCAGCCGGTTTCTAGAAGCTTTTGTTATCCTCATACCAATCGATTTTTTTTTTCAAAAAAAAAAAATAATAATAAAGAATTGGCCCTGGCATAATGCCCCCAACCCATCCCATTGGCTCAACCCTTGGTAGGTCTCGGGCAAACCCGTGTGCAAATAATTCGAGTACCACCTGATTTAAGGCGACTTCATTCCTTCAGAGGATTCAAACGAGTAACCTGAGAGAACTTAAGACCTTCAGAGAGGCTGCTCTACTAAAATATCACAAAACGCCCACTTGATACCATTCAATTCTTTTATATATATATAAAGGTTGAAAAGATGTGTTAACACAAACTTCAATTTTTATACCTTGAAAAGATAAAAAAGGGGTGTTTTTCATAATTTAAAGATAAATATAGTGATATTTTTTATGTGATATGAAATGTTTGGGTGATATAAATGTAAAAATCCAACTTTATGTATTAGATATATATATATATATATATATATAGACACACACACACACATATAAGGATTGAGTGGTATGTATGTAAATACAAATACCCCTTAAAAGTTTCTTAAACACTATTAAAGACTATTTGGTCATAACCGGTCTACGAAGGGACGGTCTCCATCTGGTGTTAGGTGGCGGGTTTTACCTTAAAAATTTGTTTACGTATATTAGGTTTTGATGTATGGAATTGAAAACAGTGCAATTTATGCTTCAATTAATGTCATTTTCTTTTCTTTTTTTTCAGTTAATAATGTTAAGTGCTTCAGCCAATAAATTATCGAGGTTGAAGGAGCAGGCCGAAGAATACGCGGCTCTGATCATGGAGGAATTGGACCCTGAGAGACTGGGCTACATTGAGGTGAGTAGCATCCCAATAATGGAATTAATTTCCATGCAAGTTTAGTTTTTTTTTTTATATATATATTTACACATAGAACCCTGCAGCAAATCTAATTTCGTAAAATCACTTTACAATAATTACTTTGTTTATTATGCAAATACTTATGACTAAAAATCGAAGTTGTTTGTTATTGTTATCCTTGAGGAGGTTAGCTCTGGAGTGTAGATGACTACAATTTGCTCGCGAGTTGATGGGTGACGTATTATTGACTTTTGAATTTTTTGAAGCGTTCGTAAATCAGGTTGGGTAGTAATGGCGTGGAAGAATTAATGAAAGCTTACAATCGAAGTTTAGGTAATTTACAAGTTTACAAATACACCCATAGCTGCCGAGTGTCCATTTTGCCATGTGGGACAATAAGGGTCTATAACTCTGAGTTGATTTGGAGTCATCCTAGACCAGAGCTGTCAAAATGACACTTTATTCGCGACCGGCTCGTGTCCGGCTCGTTCACTAAGTTAACAAGCCGAACATGTGTTCGGCTCGTAGACCAGAGCTTGACTAATTAATCAAATTAAAAATGAGTCAGTTTAAATCTACAAAAATAATGAATAGTTAGGAGATAAATTAAAATTTTTTATTTAAGTTAAAATTTAAAATATCATTTCTAAAATATTTTTTTTATAACTTAAAGTTAAAGTCTTGAATTTTAATATATTTTAATTATTTAACTTTAATATTTTTCTTAAAGGAGCCTGGTCACGAGCTAACGAGTCGGGTCGGGGCTTGCTTCAGCTTGGCTTTGTTAGCTCATCAAGCTTAGTTCATAAGCCACATATTAAGCCGAACTCGAGCCAGCTCATGATTTGGCTTGGCTCACTTAGACCCTTATCAGACATCTTCATTATAAAATTATTGATAATTATGAACCAAGTATATAATACAAAGATATATATAAATATGCGATAAAATATTAAATGCAAATATAACACGGCATGTTCTTGCACGCTATGCTTTAACATGGGTATCAGCTCCAATTGGAAATAACAGAAACCAACCATGTTTACCTATCTACTTAATTTAATGGTTATTAATCCAATTTTATATGTATATCTGTAGGTTAATATAGTTTTCAATCGGGATATAATATCTTTAGTTAGAGTGGCGGAACAAGCCTTATATTTTAGGATGAGCAAATTTACCAAATGTTTAGATTTTCTTAAGTATTAGGAAAAATAATATATGGAGATAGGTGAGTTGGGGGTGGAATGGGGGTGGTGAAGAAATTGTTGAATTTTCTAAAATAGATAATAACAAATATTAAAATTTATTACACCTCTATTTAGTTATTATCTATAATAAAGATGTTAATTTTTTTCTTAACTTAATTTATCTAAATTTAAACATTTATATTGAAAAATTTAATGCAAAATTATCACATAATATATAGTTTGAAAATCATAACTTTATTTGTACATTTTTATGGAAATTGTCCAATAAACATAAGTTGTCATCATTATCTCATTTATTTATTTTCAATTAAAATGAAAATCTCAATGTTTCTCTTATGCAATTAGATATTTCTTCAATAAAAATTATTTATATATATATATATATATGTTGGTATCATTTTAAAAGTGAAATGGACATTTTAAGGCGTAGATATGTAACACTAAAAGTATATATCTAGTTCTGGCTTTTAGATATGCAAATACATAGAACTCACGGGGTATGAATGTAACTTTTTCTTTTATTAAAAAAAATAATGAATAGTTAGGAGATAAATTAAAATTTTTTATTTAAGTTAAAATTTAAAATATCATTTCTAAAATATTTTTTTTATAACTTAAAGTTAAAGTCTTGAATTTTAATATATTTTAATTATTTAACTTTAATATTTTTCTTAAAGGAGCCTGGTCACGAGCTAACGAGTCGGGTCGGGGCTTGCTTCAGCTTGGCTTTGTTAGCTCATCGAGCTTAGTTCATAAGCCACATATAAAGCCGAACTCGAGCCAGCTCATGATTTGGCTTGGCTCACTTAGACCCTTATCAGACATCTTTATTATAAAATTATTGATAATTATGAACCAAGTATATAATACAAAGATATATATATAAATATGCGATAAAATATTAAATGCAAATATAACACGGCATGTTCTTGCACGCTATGCTTTAACATGGGTATCAGCTCCAATTGGAAATAACAGAAACCAACCATGTTTACCTATCTACTTAATTTAATGGTTATTAATCCAATTTTATATGTATATCTGTAGGTTAATATAGTTTTCAATCGGGATATAATATCTTTAGTTAGAGTGGCGGAACAAGCCTTATATTTTAGGATGAGCAAATTTACCAAATGTTTAGATTTTCTTAAGTATTAGGAAAAATAATATATGGAGATAGGTGAGTTGGGGGTGGAATGGGGGTGGTGAAGAAATTGTTGAATTTTCTAAAATAGATAATAACAAATATTAAAATTTATTACACCTCTATTTAGTTATTATCTATAATAAAGATGTTAATTTTTTTCTTAACTTAATTTATCTAAATTTAAACATTTATGATGTTAATTTTCTTAACTTAATTTATCTAAATTTAAACATTTATATTGAAAATTTTAATGCAAAATAATCATATTGAAAAATTTAATGCAAAATTATCACATAATATATAGTTTGAAAATTATAACTTTATTTGTACATTTTTTTATGGAAATTGTCCAATAAACATAAGTTGTCATCATTATCTCATTTATTTATTTTCAATTAAAATGAAAATCTCAATGTTTCTCTTATGCAATTAGATATTTCTTCAATAAAAATTATTTATATATATATATATATATGTTGGTATCATTTTAAAAGTGAAATGGACATTTTAAGGCGTAGATATGTAACACTAAAAGTATATATCTAGTTCTGGCTTTTAGATATGCAAATACATAGAACTCACGGGGTATGAATGTAACTTTTTCTTTTATTAAAAACAAAATTAGTTATGAAACAATATTTTTTTCTTTAGGATCAATGATGGTATTCTTCCTCAGCCAATGTGAATCGTCATCCAGCCTAATGGTTAACAGCTGTCAATCATTTTTCTGTGCACTTTCGACTTGACCCTAGTTCCTTCCGCCCCATCAGTCACCCTAAGTACTATTCCAAAGTCTGCATGACAAATTGTTTATACGATTGCCTGCTAACTCCTCTTTATCTTCATTTATTTTAATATTAAGATTCCTATATTCTATAATGCGCAAGTCTATATCAATAATTTTTCATTAAAAATATGTTACAATTGAAAGATTATAAGGAATAAAAAAGGAGCATTTACATACATATCACACAACTCTTTTATATCTACTTATCTAACACCCAAATTTTAATTTTTACATGCATCACTATCTCCTCTTTTTTAAAGTAAAATATATGTATTTTAATGCATAAATTTATCATACAATAATCTTATAAATATAAATATGAAAGTTTAGATGTTATATGTTATGTGTGCAAATTTTTCAAAAAAGAATTACATCAAAAGGTATCCAAATCAGACGAAGGTACGTAATATTTTTTTTCATGTGAGTGTATTTTTTGCTTTATGTATATGGATTTTCTTAAATGTGGTTTAAGCTTATGATCTTAGCAAAAAAGTTTTTCCCAACACAGCCATGGATAGTTTATGACGTATAATCAAATCATGGGCTTAACCCAAAGAAATAGCAGCAGACAAAGTGGCAACGATCTGAAAATAAATTACTGGAAAAGTTGCTCAAAATGAACGCTAATCTTACCAAAAATCTTTCTGCATTTATCAATTTCTAAACTTTACGATTGAACCATCAACATAAAATTTAAACAGAGATCAGATGCTGCCCATCCTAATCTATTTTAGGCTCTCATCCATGCAATCATGGGCTCAAAATTCTAGCTTATTTGATTATATGCGTTAATTACGGTTTAAAAGTTTCCAATGTCTAACAAAAGCGAACCAGAAATCAGACGCTCATTACTTACAGCCCGCTACTACTTGCAGCTATGGCAGTTGGAGACACTGCTGCTTCAGAAGGACACATACCTGAACTACAGCCAGGCGCTGAGCTACACAAGCCAGGCTTTAAGCCAGAACCTGGCCGGACTCAGAAAAAGGAGTCCCATCCGTCACCTAAGCAACAAGCTTGGCTACTTCCTGGAAGAGAACTGGAAGCGCATATACGCACTAGCACTCTGGTCCGCGTTAATGGCGGCCCTCTTCACCTGGAAATTCGTGCAGTACCGCCAGCACTCCGCATTCCATGTGATGGGCTACTGCCTCCCTACCGCCAAAGGTGCAGCCGAGACTCTCAAACTCAACATGGCTCTCATCCTCCTCCCCGTCTGCCGCAACACCATCACCTATCTCCGTTCCACCCGTCTCTCCCGCATCATCCCTTTCGACGACAACATCAACTTCCACAAGGTCCGCATTCTGTACGTAAATGCCTTTCTAAACGATTTCTAATTGCTCTGCTTAATGTAGAAATGGTTGTGCAGACCATTGCGGCGGCCATTGTGGTGGGCGTGATTCTCCACGCCGGCAACCACCTCAGCTGCGATTTCCCCCATCTGATCTCGAGCTCGGAGGACGCATATCGTGAAAACTTGAGTCTTGATTTCGGGGAGACGAAGCCTTCTTATGGAGAACTGGTGCAGGGTGTAGAAGGTGTGACGGGTATAATAATGGTGGTGTGTATGACGGTGGCCTTCACTCTCGCCACCCGCTGGTTTCGTCGGAGCCTCGTGAAGCTGCCCCGTCCTTTCGACCGTCTCACCGGCTTCAACGCTTTCTGGTACTCCCACCATCTCTTCGTCCTCGTCTACGCATTGCTCATTGTCCATGGCCAGCACCTCTACTTCATTCACCATTGGTATCTCAAAACGGTACGTACTTCTACACCTTCTGGTTTTGATTAATGCTTGAGATGGACTTGTAGAAGCTCTTTCTTGAATGGAGCTTTATTTGCAGACTTGGATGTATCTGTGTGCTCCGCTGCTTCTATACATGGGTGAAAGGACTCTGAGATTTCTGAGGTCTGGTTATTATTCCGTTCGATTACTCAAGGTTTGATATTTTGTTGTTGGTATCTGATTTTATTCTAAAAACTATATTGTGTTTGAAAGCGAATTGACTTATTTATTTTTTGGAAATTAATCAGGTTGCTATATACCCTGGAAACGTTCTGGCTCTGCAAATCTCAAAACCGCCTGGATTTCGATACAAGAGCGGGCAATACATGTTCGTGCAATGCCCTGCTGTTTCCCCTTTAGAATGGTGAGCCAATTTCTGATCATTCTTTCCCAAAAAAAAAAAAAAAATTATCACAATTTATGTTAATGTTGTTAACTTATATCCTATTAAATGGAATTGATAAATCCAGAGTTACTAAATTTACTAAATCCTGTTTAACATAAAGCTGAGTTTACAAAAAAAGAGAACGGTTTGTTTGCAGGCATCCTTTCTCCATCACTTCAGCTCCGGGGGATGATTACCTCAGCATTCATATTAGACAGCTGGGAGACTGGACCCGGGAGCTCAAACGGGTCTTCTCGGAGGCATGCGAGCCTCCTGTAGCCGGTAAAAGCGGTCTCCTGAGAGCCGATGAGACCACAAGGAGGAGGTATATATATACATAAATCTATCTAAACAATGTTTTTGCAAATATGGAAACTGATTTATTATTCAAATTGATATTTTCTCATGTTTTATAGTAAATTGGATTTGATATTCGAAATTAATTGTTAAATTAATTGATTTTAATTCCTTCTATAATTTATTGTAGAAGAGAAAAATGAATAATTAATGTCTTTATTAATTATTTGATATGCAAAATCACTGACATTTAATCATCATCATTTTCTTAAGATATTACGAAACTTAATGCGTTCAATTTTTCTAACAGCATGCCCAAATTATTGATAGACGGCCCCTACGGTGCTCCCGCACAGGATTACATGAAATACGATGTGCTTCTCCTTGTTGGACTTGGCATCGGCGCAACCCCATTCATCAGCATCTTAAAGGATTTGCTCCACAACATCGTTAAAATTGAAGAACAAGAAGTAAGCTCTGCCTCCCCTGCCTAACTCTGCTTTGAATCAAATATGCAAAATTGGTATATATACCACGCAAGTCTTATGCATTTACATATCTAACATCTATATTTTAGCTTATATACTATTTTATAAAGTTAGAATGATGGCATTTGTTGTTGATACGAAAGATTTAAATGAAATAAATGCAAAAACCAAATTTTAGCAGGACTTTGGTGGTATGTATGTAACTGCCCATATATTTACTGTTAGGGACATTTACATATATAGTACTTTTTGGATGTTATATATATATATATATAGGTAAATACATGGGAATAAGGTGATGTGCATGTAAATGCCACATCAAATATTTATTGTTGTTGAATTTACACACATAGCATACAATTCTTAAGTATTTACATGTCTCGCCCCTAATACTCACACACATAGCATTAAAATCTTGGGCTAAATACATAGAGACCACTCGAAACATTGATATTTACAAATCAACCAGCATTTTTCATTTATGACTGTTTGGCGTGCAGAATGCGATCACAGACTATGTACCACCACCAGACGGGCACATCGACTTGGCGACAATACTGAAAGCCACTCAAAGACCCAAATGGACGCTCAAGACAACGAATGCCTATTTTTATTGGGTTACCCGCGAACAGGGATCCTTCGATTGGTTCAAAGGCGTCATGAACGAGGTCGCAGAGCTCGATCAAAGGGTAACAAATTATAATTTGCATCATTTATAATTGTAATGAGATAGAAAAATAATTTATAATTTGTTAAAATCATAGGGTGTTATTGAGATGCACAATTATCTCACTAGCGTTTACGAGGATGGGGATGCGCGGTCAGCACTTATTGCCATGGTGCAGGCTCTAAACCACGCTAAAAATGGCGTAGACGTCGTCTCCGGAACCAGAGTAAATTATTTGTTCTGTTCTTCTAAGCTTTTGAACTTTTTTTTTTACTTAAACGAATATAATATTTTTTGAGGTTTTGCAGGTGCGGACGCACTTTGCACGACCCAATTGGAAGAAAGTGTTCTCGAGAATAAGCTCCAAGCACACTTATGCTAAAATCGGTTAGTACATACCGGTCACTGTATAATTTTCTGCATGTAGATTACCTAAGTACATAATAGTGTGTGCACAATAATACTAATTCCTATGTATTTACATCCATACCACTCAATTCTTATGCATTTATATACCCAGCATTTAAACTTCAATTCTCACATAAATACTGCCTAGGGGTGTAAGTGAGTTTAGTCGAGCTCTAGTCAATCTCAATTTGAGCTTGAGATTGATTAATTGATGAGTTTGAGCTCGAGCTTAATTTTATGAGTTTGACTTTTGTCATGAACCTTCTTATTTATTTTGAAGGAGAGAAAATTATATTAATTTCAACTCATCTAGTGCTATAATTAAATTATGAATAAAATGAGTAATTAAGAGTTAATATATAAACAATCATTTATTATATTAAATGTAAAACTTTATATTTTAAAAATATTTTTAATAGTTTATAGATAAACACTTGAAATTTAACATGTTTTAATTTTATTTGTATATTGGCATTTTTTTTAAACAATTCGGGGAAGCTAATAAGTCTAGTCAACGCTAACTTGGGCTTGGTTTGCTAGTTCATTGAGCTTAGCTTGTGAGCCACATATTAAGTCAAGTTGATTTTCAAAGTTTTTAAACTTAAAAATAATTATATATTTTTGTATGATATGAAAATTTTGACTGTATAAATTTAAAACTGATACAAAGTTAATAATTTTTGAGGTTTTGCAGGTGCGGACGCACTTTGCACGACCCAATTGGAAGAAAGTGTTCTCGAGAATAAGCTCCAAGCACACTTATGCTAAAATCGGTTAGTACATACCGGTCACTGTATAATTTTCTGCATGTAGATTACCTAAGTACATAATAGTGTGTGCACAATAATACTAATTCCTATGTATTTACATCCATACCACTCAATTCTTATGCATTTATATACCCAGCATTTAAACTTCAATTCTCACATAAATACTGCCTAGGGGTGTAAGTGAGTTTAGTCGAGCTCTAGTCAATCTCAATTTGAGCTTGAGATTGATTAATTGATGAGTTTGAGCTCGAGCTTAATTTTATGAGTTTGACTTTTGTCATGAACCTTCTTATTTATTTTGAAGGAGAGAAAATTATATTAATTTCAACTCATCTAGTGCTATAATTAAATTATGAATAAAATGAGTAATTAAGAGTTAATATTTGAAATTTAACATGTTTTAATTTTATTTTTATATTGACAATTTTTTTTAAACAATTCGGGCAAGCCAATAAGTCGAGTCAAGTCAACGCTAACTTGTGCTTGGCTTGCTAGTTCATTGAGCTTAGCTTGTGAGCCACATATTAAGTCAAGTCTAAGCAGGCTCGTGAGACTCAATTACACCCCCTATTAACGCCGACTGATTTTCAAAGTTTTTTAAACTTAAAATAATGATATTTTTTGGTATGATATGAAAATTTTGACTGTATAAATTTAAAAAACAAATAAATGGTATGCATGTAAATATCCCTTTTAATAACTATAATGCATGTTCTTAAAATGTAATTATTAGATTGGGGATTTATGTTTGTTTAAGAGAGAATATTGGAACTGGGGGTAATGTGGTAAATTGGTGTGGCACAGGGGTGTTTTACTGCGGGGCGCCGGTCTTAGCGCAGGAGCTGAGTAAGCTCTGCTACGAATTCAACCAGAGAGGCGTGACCAAGTTCGAGTTCCACAAGGAGCACTTCTGACAATATATCATACACTGCTCGACCCGTACATACTGATTATACGTTTAGGGTAAATTAATTGTATAGCACAGATTTTTTTTCTTTTTTTTTTTTTAATTTTTGTAGTCAATTTTGTATTTTCCTTAAATATTTATCATTATGAGAGTGAAATGTAGAGATATAGAGAGAGAGTAGAGATAGATGGTTTGGTACGAGCAACCATTTTTCTCTACGTTGTATCTTATGATGTGAATGGAAAACAGAAAAAAGAAAAGCTAGAGGAAAGAAAGGAGCAACGCTTGACCTCAAAGGAAGCAAATCTTGGGCCACATGTATAATAGGATATAAACTGTCAAAGTAGTCTCTAAGGAGTCTTTAAGTTATTTACGTAGGCCTTTTTAGCCACATAATTTATATTATTGTCAAAATAGTCTCTATCATGATTATTTGAGTTCAAATTTGAAAAAAATCAGGGATTATTTTGACATTTTTATAAACTTTGGGGCTAAAAAGGTCGACTGTAAGTAGTCAGGACTATTCTCGCACTTTAACAATAGTGTGTATTAATTAAACATAAATAATTTCAATTTTAATTAATTGTCAAATTATTCGGGACTCAAACCTCACTGTCAGGGAATTTTTTTGAAGGAAAACAAAAATAATTTTATACGTTAGTGAGTGGATAAGGCTAAATAAATATAAAGTAAATGTTAGGTAAGATTATTCTTAAAATCAATTAGTTTGATGGCTCCAGTTCATTTAATGAACGTATAATTAGTATTTTAAGTGGAGATGAAAGCTTATATTAGTGATGTACACCTTTTCATGCATGGTCCATGACACCATAGAGTTACAAACATATATTAAATTTTAAATGGTAGATATATAAATACAAAAGAATTATGTGATATATATGTAAATTTCTCAAAAAATAAAAAAGAAATTAAAAAAAAAAATCCTTGTCCCACTGATTAAACCCAAACAAAGTTGTTGGGTACAACAGATATAAAATCAGTTAGCTGGATCGAACTCACCTCACTAAGAGCACGCAGATACGGCCCACCTATGTGCGTCACAGCTATGAATATGAAAAAAGGCCACGGTCGTTTGACTTTGCGGCCCAATTCTGAGCTCGGCCTGAGTGGATGTCCACGTTTAGGGGTAGGTGGGCACACGACCGAAGCCCTTTCTTCCTGCCTACCCAAGAATAAAAACATTAAATAAAAATATATAGGGGTAGGTGGGCACACGACCGAAGCCCTTTCTTCCTGCCTACCCAAGAATAAAAACATTAAATAAATATATATATATATATATATTCTGGACCGCTCAGCGGCTTCCCCACCTCGTATTATTCTTTTCTTCTTAATTTTGGCTTCATTTGACAGAATATTAAATGTAGACTACGAATGTAAAATTATATATTTACGACTAAAAAATATAATCATATAATTTTTTACTGTTATATTAGTCATTATATTGTGCATGATATATTTCGCTTTAGGGCCCTTTTTTATTATTTTATTTTTTTCTAAGAGTAGGTAAATAATGGTGAGTTATTTTATAATTACACATTAAGACTACATGCATGCATGTTGAATGGTTCAACGTATAAAATGGCGATTGTTTATTGGTGCGGGCCATAATTTTGTTATGTTTGGAGGAGTCATGCATGCATGAGGAATAGTTTATGGTGGGTGAGGATGAGAAATGGTGTTGACAATTAACTTAGTTATCACTCTAATAATTCAGGTTTGGTTCGCTGAGTTATTTATGGTGTATAACTCATTTGTCACGTAAATATAAATGAGTCAAACACGAATAAATTTATGATCAGTTGTGTTCAGCTTGTTTCGTCTTGAAATAACTAAATACTAAATTTTTATAATTTTTTTTTTATTTAGAAAAATCTTAATTTTTGATCTTTTTTTTTTTACTTTTAAAACAAATTTCGAGTCAAACAAGAGCTCAAACATACAATCGAATTTGAATCGAGTTTACAATAAACTTAATTAGCACTCTCTAATAATTAATTTATGGTGTATAATTCATTTGTCACGTAAATATAAACGAGTCAAACACAAATAAATTTATGATCAGTTGTGTTCAGCTTGTTTCGTCTTGAAATAACTAAATAAATAATTATTTTAATATTTTTTTATTTAGAAAAATCTTAATTTTTGTTCTTTTTTTTGAGCTTTTAAAGCAAATTTGGAGTCAAAGAAGAGCTCAAACATACAATCGAATTTGAATCGAGTTGAACGCAAAAATGTTATTCACTAATCATTTCAAGGATAAATGAATAAACAATTCAAACACCAACAAAGAATTACTTCGCTCAAACTCAACTCGTTTACGTTACATGTATTAACAACTTTAAGAATGAAGACATTCGAGTTCACACTACACTAGAAAGACAAATATTGAGAGCATCAACTCATTCAAAAAGTGAGAGATAAGGATAAAACACATGCACCCTAAATTCCATGGGCATATGTGCAAAACTTATAATTGGGGACTACTTTTGCATTAATTATCATTTCAGACATGCAAGTTGATTCAGTGGGAAACTGATTAGGCAAAGAACTTTAGGAGCAAGAATCTATTGAACAAAGTTAAAAAAAGGGAGATTTACATACTTACCAATTCATTCTTATATATTTACATATTTAACACCTAAACTTCTATTTTTACATACAAGTAACCTTACCTATGCTTAAAAAGTAGTGCTTCACATGTTTCAAGTAAAAAAAAAAAAATGTGATACTTTTATGTGATAAAAAAAAATTTGGGTGGTATAAATGTAAAAAGTAAAACTTATAACTTTTGACTAAAAAGATTTGGGTGGTACAAATGCCCCTAAAAGAATTGGAAGATTTACAAACATACCACTCAATTCTTATTTATGTATAAAAGTTGCTCATTTAAATATCAAAATGGTGATATTCTCAATGTGATTTGAAAGATTAGGGTGATGTAAATGTAAAGGAAAAAATGCTTAGGAGTTATTTATGTAAATATATAGGAATTGAGTGATATGCATGTAAATGCTCCATAAAAATAAGACAAGATTAATCAGAGTAATAAAAGTCCTTAAATATATAGAAATTGGGTGATATGTATGTAAATGCTGCATAAAAAGAGCAAGGAGTTTCATAAATTTAAAATTACATTACAAAGCGCTCAAAATATTGTTATTTACAAAATCTAGCTAGCACCTATCACATATTTTTGAACAGACGAACCAATTTTTTTAAACGTGCGGGATCAAACAATTATGAATTTGATAAAAATGAAAAATATGGATTGGGGTTTTGTCATCGATTTTGATATTTGACAGAAAATTTGAAAAATGGATGAAAGATAGTGTTAGATTCATAAATAGTAATGCTTCGGGTGCTATGTTTTTAAGTGTGTCATACTATAACCATCATTTTGTACATTGGTCCTTCAAGATTCCAAAAATCAATTTTTATTAATGTGAGCAAAACATGATGTTCGAACATAAGAGATATCCAAATAAGGACAAATTAGGATATAGATAATTTGATCTCATTATGTTTGAAATGATTGGCATTTCAAGGTGTTCAAATTCAGAATAATGCGGAATAACGTGGAATACTTTGGAATACTTTCATTGATATGAACTGAGGTATAAATAACCTTTATAAGAATTCTATAATATAAAAAAATAATAAAAAAGAAATGATATGAAAGAAAAGATATATCACCTGATATCTTCAATAATTAATTCATATTAATTATTAGGAGATAATATGAAATAAATTAGGAAAACAAATAATTCCTAACATATGAAAAGAAATATTTCATTATATTAAGGAAAGAATTTATTCCTCATAACTTTTTCTAGGAATAAATTATTTCATATTATAAGTATTAACATTAAAGACGATAAATCATGTAATTTAAATTAAATATTTCAACACAGGGTAATACTTCTTAAGCACCCAATAAATCAAAATTTTCATGATTAACAACAGTGGCATATAAAAAGGGCATCTACATACATACAATCCAATTCTTATGTATTTACACATCTAACACCCTAAATTCAATTTTTTTACATTTATACACCCAAAACTTTCTTATCAAATTAAAAATACCACCATTTTAACTTTTTAAAAGGTCAAATACACTTTTTCATGCATAGATAAGGGGGCATGTTTGTAAAAAACTGACGTTTAAGTGGTAGATAAGTAAATACACCGATGTATGTAAATCAACCAAATGAAAAAAAAAATATAGGAGGCTTTTGTTAATGATAAATACTTGTTCATAAGGAGGCTTTTCTTATTATATTTTCTCTCTACTTCAATACAAGGAGGATGAACATGGCAAACCATCTTATGGTGAGTCATTATATTATAATTAGTGAAAGGCTAGATAACATTCTAAGGATCCCCATCCACCTTAGCACCCAAAGCTAAATTCAAATTCAAAACTTTCATGATAATCGTAATGAAATTGAAATCTTCACTAAAAAGATGAAGTGTAAAAAGTTGTATTCTTCTTATCATAATCCATGTCATTAGATAATAAAAAGATGATTTTGATTGCTAAATTTTGTACATTTCTTTGGAATGTTATGGGTCCTAAATTCTTTAAGGTTTTCTTTTATTTCCTTACAACAATAAAAATTCTTAGTGCGTTAAGACTATAACCATCATGCTTATTGTGCTGCGTACCCCAGCCTACTGATTGGCATCCACGGTATAAGACCACTCAGTTCGAGGGTTTGAATCCCCTTTGGCACAGTAGGCCTAAAGAGTGTGGTACTCGAATTATGAAGCACATTAAGGATGACTAAATGCTCATAAAATAACTTCTGACCATTCCTTAAAATAAATAAATAAATAAATAAAATATCATGCCCGTACTTAATTAAGCACAAAATCGTAATACTCTGATAGAGATAACAAATAAATATCATTCTATAACATTTGTAATAAATTTATTATTATTATTATTATTATTATTATTATTATTAAGGCATAACACATCATAATCTTACGATTAGCTATCAATGATATACCAAAAAATAATTGACATCCCTGTTAATATGTGCATATCAACTAATAATTTTTGCCCTCAAAGTTTATAAGCTCCTAAAGATCATTATTATATTTCATTAGAAACACCACACTTCCTTTCTTTCTTCAATATCACTTTTATTAATAAATTGGATGAACAACAATTTTTCTCGATGGCTAAGACTAACGTCTTATTCGATCAAGGTTTTAATCATGCACATGCCATTTTTTATAAGGTGGTTACTAAGTTTATTATGTCTCTTGGGAGTCCATTTTGGTAAATATTTAGTGTTATTAA